TACACCCCCCCCCCCGTTTACCCCATATATATAGAGACATATGCACATGCATATATATACCTACACAGATATACATGTATATGGAAACATGTACACATACATACACAAATATATGATATGTATTATTTAGTACTTTCCTTTAAATTTTACGCATTTGAACTACAAAGGAATGCTTATTGGAACAATTTAAACAACATAAAAGTAACTAAACTAAGTTTACTAACCTATGCTTCCAGACTCTTATTCCTAACATTCTAGGGTAACCATTTAAAAAAATAACTTGAAGCTAAAAATAAATTTGTTTTGAATTTTTAAAAATATTTTTGCATACAAACACTCATATGGCACACACTACATATCACATTCTATAACTTGTTCTTCTTTGCTTAACAACGTAATGTGGACATCTTTTGAAGTTAGTCCCTCTCGCTCATCTATTAGTTTTCAGAAGCTCCTTGTACTCTGTGGGATGGCTGTGCCATTTTCAACCATCCCCTGGGTGATGGTCTGATGGTATTTGACTGTAGAAGATGCTGCAGCAAATAGTCTTGTATACAAATGTAAATGCTGGCACTTCTACTTCTTTCGGATAGAGCAGGGATAGAGCCTCCAGCGGTTTAGAACCCAAGACTGGACAAAGCAAAAGCCAAAACAGTAATAATAAATGATACCCCACCTTTTATCGATATGCCTACCACCCACCAGGCACTACAGTGGGGTGCATAATGAACGTGAATGGGACCTCAAGCAGTTCACCAAAGCAACATGTGATTGAATGCCCATACCAATGTTACACACGATATATATCTTAGTATTGCAAGGTCCATGTTGAAATCTTCCTAATGGTGCATAAGCCAACCTCTAATCTAGCTTTAGATTCTCACAAGTTCCATTGACCCTTTCATGCAGCTTCCTTCCAATCTTCTTTGTAGCAGAGAACAAAAGAAACTCCCAACTGACTCGCAGCGGAGTCAGTTAACTGGCTTTTCTAATGTGGCCAGTAATTTATCTGATTGCTCACAGTGTGGTCCATCATTTTCTTCCAGAAGCTGAAAGTAAAAAACGACGGTTTTCCCAGCAGAGAGCCACGTGTCTGCTGTCAGGCCTCTGACACACATTTCAGGGATGCACTTACCAGTAGATATTAAACTGCTTCACGGGAAAGAACTAGAAGTTACAAAACCAAGTTAAAACATAAAATAACTTTTGAAAGTACATTTAACAGGATTCAACTGAATTTTTTAAGCAGCCAGGAAATGGTGCCACCAGACTGTTTCCACCCCCAGTGATTTTACTGCAGACATGCTCCAACGCTGTGGCACCCGCAGAGGTCTGCAGCTCCTGTTTGCGTAGAAATACCACGTGCCATTCAGTGGCCAGGAGGGCAGGTAGCTGCCAGCCTCCAGCTGCAGCACCTTCAGGATCAGCCCCAGCTCTCCTGCAGAGAACAGCTCTTCCCGGCAGCTCCAGCCCATGACTGAGCCTGGGGGGGGATGCTAGGGCCTAGAACTTTCTGGACCGGCCAGTTCTTTGCTCTGGGATTGGATGAGACTCTCGGGGCCTGCATTGCAGTCTGGGGCTCTCCTTGTCCATAACTGCCTCCTTTTTTTTTCTTCATCTTATTGGTCTGCAGGGTGATCTGGGACTCTGGCCAATCCTGCTCCCTCCCCTCTTATCCTGTACAACGTCTGCTAACATCCCCTCCTAACTTCTCAGGGTCCGAGTTCTGGGGGACCCCACAGACACAAATGCTTTCAGGTCAACGGAGGAACGTAAATGCTATTCATCTCATTCAGAGGACTAAAAACCTGAGCATGTGCCCTAGCCCCTGGACATTCTCGTGCCAGCCTCTGTAAAAATGAATTATGCTTCTGCCAAAGTGAAACTGACCCTTCCATTTCAATTATTCAGTGGGAACACAAATGAAAAACCAAATGTGGGGAAAAGCAAACTCACATATATTCTGAAATTCCACTTTGGTTACCTGCACTATTTCTAAGATCCTAGGTAAGGTTCATATTTTGGTATTCCTTCTTGTTTGTCAAGAACTGATTAGAGGCCGTCAAGGCATCATAGTTACAGTGAGAAAACACTGTTTCCATTTCCACCCCCTTTAACCACAATTCCACTTCTAGCACCAGTGTTCTAGCTAAGCTGCCTCCCCTTGTGGTTCCACACAGAGAAGGAAGCAGGTAACAATTGCATTCTTGTTGCAGGGGAGTTTGGAGAGGTGTACAAGGGGCGTTTGAAACTTCCAGGCAAGAGGGAAATCTATGTGGCCATCAAGACGCTGAAGGCCGGGTACTCGGAGAAGCAGCGTCGGGACTTTCTGAGCGAGGCGAGCATCATGGGCCAGTTCGACCATCCCAACATCATTCGCCTGGAGGGCGTGGTCACCAAGAGTCGGCCGGTCATGATCATCACAGAGTTCATGGAGAATGGCGCCTTGGATTCCTTCCTCAGGGTAAGAGAAGCTCAGGGGCATGGGTGATGCCAGCACTGGTGGCCGCTGGAGAACGATGGCTGGGAGAAGTGTCCACATGAGGAGAACCTGTCATTCAGGAATCGCCCGAGGAAATGTGAGTGGGTGTTGTAGGTGTTCATGAGGTTAACAGATTTGTTACTAAAAGAAAAGAACACAGAGCTTGTGGACCCCTCAGTAGGAGGATGGCAGGTTGTAGGGCCTTGGTAAATGCTTGATGGATGAATGAGAATTAATAAATGGGGACAGAGAATGGCCATTGGCATCTGTACGAATCTTGGCGATTGAAGAGACATTCAGCTGCTCATTGACCTGCATGATTCATGCAGATGCCAGTGGCCCTCTCTGCCTTTTTCCCAGCACAGCTGCTCTCTCCCTCCCCCCCCCCCCAGCCAGCTCTCATCATTTGCAGTTCAGAGATAAAACAGGTTGCCCTTTTCTGATGTCTGGGCCACCTGCCCTCCGAGGAGGCGCTTCTGGGCAAGAAAGGGGAAGATTGGTTCACCAGCATCACACAGTCTTTTCTGGGGTTGATGAAGAATGTGATTCCCACCCAAATTGCAGCACAGGTGGGCGTACCTGAAGGCCTATGGCTGGGGCATCTGTGAAAGATCCTTGTCAGTGTGCCCCAGTGGAGCCACATTGGAACCATTTTCATCTCTATGGGGCATCGCTCAGAGAAGGGGTGGGTGAGGATGGCCATGACGCTGATGTCTGGGGAGTGAAAGCTGACTAAGCAAAGGCCAAGGAGCAAGTGTCCTTACAAAAGCTCAGCGCGGGATTGCAATGGAGGCCTGAGAACAAAGGGTCCAGGGTGGGGGCGAGGGGAGCAGCACCAAAGAACAGGTCAGGGTCTTCTGAGCAAGGTCTTCTGGGTGATACCAAGTAGCAGACTATGCCCATCACCAAGATGTCACACAGTAGATGTAGCTTCAGATCAAAGAACAATTTGTAGTCAGTCATTGAAACATTCGTGGGGTGACTGCTCTGGTCACTCTGTGTGCTGGGTGCTGGGCCTATGGAGAGGCAAGAGACATTGCTTAATACTGTGTAACAAATCAGGCCAACACTTCAGTGGCTTAGCACAATGATTTGCGTTGCTCATGAAAATGCAACTGGGCCAGATCATCTCTAGTCCATGTGGTGTCAGATGGGGCAGCTCAAGGGCTAAGGCCTGGAATCATCCAAAGGCTTGTCACTCATGTGTCTTGTGGTTGATACTTGGTGTCAGGTGGCATCTCTCCATGTGACCAGCTTGGACTTCCTCACAGAAAGCTGGGTCCCAAAAATAGCATCCCCAGAGGAGGAGGCAGAAGCTGTATCCGTTTGGTAACACAGCATCATCTCAACCATAGCAATTCACCCACTGATGCAAGGGGAGGAAATAGGCCCTACATTTTGATCAAGAAGAGCAATATATTATACATAAGGGGTCGGGGGACCTGTTATGTCCGTCTTAGAGACTACAGTATGCCACCGAAGTCTCTGCCCCTGAGGACTTTAGTGTCTAAAACTTCCAGCATGGAATACAGAGGTATCATAAGCAAAGAACTGAAATCTTGCCGGGAAGCCAGAGAAGGCTCCAGAAAGAATTTATCTGTCATTGGAGAATGAGGCATTTGCAGACAGGTGGGGGAGCAGGCAGGTAGGGTGAAACAATGGAACAGTGTGTTTGAAGGCCAAAGTCAGCATTGCCTCTTTGGTAATCTGTCAGCAGCTGTGTGGTGGCTCCAAAGCTCAGGAGTAGAGCCTGGGAACTGCAGCATGAAAGGGTAGCTAGGGGACTTGTCTAGAAGCTGTGCATGCACAGTATTGAAACTAACTTTGCAGGGCGAGCATACACGTTTTGTCTCATATGAGTCATTAAGCAGTAGGCTATTTCTTTTTACGGGATGGGGGGACAACAGATGTAGATTGTGAGCCCCATGGACTCTGCCTGGCACAGCCTCCTGGATGGTATGGGTTATACCTTGTATTTTGCCACCCCAGTACCTAGCATAGTGAGCGCCTGGTAAATACTAGTGGAATGAAAAACACGAATAACTATTTCTGGGACAAAAAATATTCCAGAGTGACAGGAGAAATGTAGTTATTATTCTGAGTGAGCCCGGTCTCTTGTCTTTGTAGCCAAACCTCTCCTATAAGAGCAGGGTATGGACCATGATTCCCCGGGGGCATTCACTCATGATCAGAGCTCTCATGAAAACAGTCCAATAAAAGTGAGTAGAAGGCAATGTTAGAAGAAAAAGTGTTTTCTGGAACCAGCCTCCATGCCCTTTCAGGAGTCATTTATTTCCTACATGTCACCCGACCGTACTTCACAGAGAGTCTCAACATGATCTGGGACTGTGATCAGACTCTCTCTCCCTGGGCCGCGCAGGGCGAGGGAGATTCATTCTCAGGAGACTGCGGGAAATCAAAGCCCCACAGCGTTGCTCTGCACAGGCTGTTTCCATTTGCGTCCCAGGACATGGGCACATATTGGACACCGGCATTTTTCATGATGATGAGGCCTTGGGAGAAAAGCTAGGGGCAAGAGAGGAGCCCAGGAAAACCAAAGAGAAAGGACGGCAAGGAAGGGGCGGCCGGAGCAGGCAGAGCCAGGAGGAGAGGGGAAATGAAGCGTTTCTGACTCCTCGCACGGCATGGAGGCAGGTAATCTATAAATCTAATTTCAGCCTTACCACAGACCCTGGAGCATAGCAGCATTAATTGATGTATCTGCTGCTTGATACAATCTAAAAGTAGGTCATCAGTTAAGTTCTGTAGGGTCCATCTTCTGGGAAGTAGAATAATTTTAGGATTGCCATTCAGAAAAGGAAGGGAAAGGATGAGTCCTCAATGTGTGCAGCTGTCTCCTCCCTCCAACTTTCACGCTGGACATGACCCCTTTGGGCAGTGGCTGCAGCCCCTGCTCTGGGTCAGCATCCGAGAGGCTCTGCCTTGGGGATCCAGTGAGCACAGTTCACTCACCACTCTTCTCCCTTTTGGGGACTTAGAATCCCTCACATTCTGGAGGGATTGGAAACACCATTATTCTTTTAACACACATTCAGTAAGTTCATTATTTTCCATTTTTCCCAAAGTCTGTGTCATGGATATTATGTAGCATGCAAATCTACAATGAAATATTTCCTTCTTGGCATTCAAGTTCAGGGGCTTTAATCTGGAGGCTCTTCCATAAATTTAGGAACAACCCCTGAACCTCATCAATGTCCCATGCTTGAGCCAACAAGGTCGCCATGCTCTGTGAGGCTTTCGTGCCTGAACGTTGGCCTGGTGGTTGCTGCTGGTTCATTCACAGATGGTCATAACTGAAAGACTCATGGAAGTCACTGAGCAGTGACAAATGGAGACATTTCTCATCAGGGAAGCTCATTCATGGGCTGAAACTAGACAACAGCAACACAGATGTCAGGAAGAGAACACCAGATTGGAAGTCCTGAGACCGAAGTTCTGCTTTGAGCTCTGCCATGAGTCACCCTGTGGCCTTGAACAAATCTGTTAACTCAATTTCCCAATCTATAAACTAAAGGCATTGAGTTGGATGATCTTGAAAGGTCTCTTTCAGTTAAAAAAAAATCCATGATTCATTCTCTTCAAACAAATCAAATAAGGGTTTCATTTCCTGAAGTGGATTTGTCAATGGAAGTTGAAATACCTAAATCCTTCCTGTCTAATAAAAGGGCCAGCAAGTGGCTTCAGTGAATTTTCAGAAAAGCAATTTCAGCAGAAAGCACTTTATGAAGGGAAGAAAATTTAAATCACTTCACTGAGGCTGTATTTCTTCTATGTGCTGTGTTTTTGCCATGTGCTCAGCATGGCAGATCTTTTCCTGAAGTCACAAAGAAACCTTTCTTAATCTTCTTTATCTTTATTGTTCATATTCCTGCAAGTTCTTTCTGGGGAGTTATACCAATGAAATGAATACCAAACAGTTGAACATGTCAGAAAATCTTAATATGCTTACATCTTTAAGTTTCACCGAGATTATGAACTCAACAGGCATGATCCAGTCTTATCATGATATGTGTTTACCCTGCAGACCCTAAAGAAAAAATTCAGTGGCCTTCACAAAAGTCAATATATTCCCATGGAAAAGGCACTGGACAGGAGTTAAAAGAGTCAGATGAGTGTAGCATAATGAGTGTAGTATAGAAATGACTCTTCTTTCTATTTCTATAGCCATAGCAGACATTAATCAATCATGGCTTCCTTCCCTGTGAAGCTTATACACAGCCTTCTTCTCCAACCAGCTTTTGAGACAGCCATTACCAATTGATTGGAGATGGAATGTCAGTAGTGATGTAATTGCTGTTCTGGCCTTAGAATCTTGTTATAAGCCAAAACCACACAGAGTGATTGAAGGCTGGTGACTTAAACTTTCTAGACTTAATTTATCTTCTCTATTAAAAAATATACTATTGCCTGCCTTTCACAGAACCAGTTTTAAGGATGAGAACATATCGGTGAAGTATGACTTGCCATTCAAAAGTCAAGAAATGGAAGAAATCAATGTTTGTTGATTAATTGATCCAAACTTTAGACCCGCATCATTAGTTTCTGATCATATGCTACTACAGTTGCGGGGAAGGGATGTTACAGATGCCAACCTGTTGAGTTCAGAATGAATGAACTAGGTTCTCCAAAGGCAATGATCTTAGGATGTCACCCCCGCACAACCAGAACTCACACCACAGTTCTGGCTCCAGGTGTCCTTAGTCTCTCTCATCATGCATCCCAGGTACATGAGAGAGCTGATTTGTGAGACACTGATGGCCCTGCTGATAATACCAGCAATCAATGCTGCTGTCTTAGTATTCACTAGGCCCTGAGCTAAGCCCTTTTACATGTGTCATCTCCTTTAACCTCGTAAAAACCCTATGAAGAATGGACACTATGGACACTGTGTTCTTATTTTACAGGTGTGGAAATAACTGCTCTGGAAGTTAAATAACTTGACCAAGAGCATGCAGCCTGTGGGCAGCAGACCCTGGGTCCAACCTGGGTGGCTACAAAGCCTGGACTTCTAGCTACTTTTTAGCCCTTGCTGGCCCCAGAAACTCTAAGAATGACTGATGTAAATTTTAAAACAAATCAAATTAATAAAGCAGGCCAATGAAGACTTAAATGGCTTAACGTAGAAACAGACATGTTACTGCACATGCTTTCAATGTTACTCTTCTCAAAGTTGTTTACAATCTCCACCAGGGCCGGCCTCAACATTTATATACAAGTTGGCTTCTTGAGGGAGACATTCGTTTTCAAAGGCATTGTTGTCTATATTCATGGAGAGGAAGTAACAACCCAAATTGAAAACATATGACCCTGTGACTTCAGGCTGAGTGAGAATACAGTCTCTAATATACAGAAGTTGCACGAGAGCTTTCTGGGAAGGTAGATCCCCAGAGACCTACTTAGAGAAAGGGAACGGTGCTAGCCTGGCTAACTTCCTGAGGAGGTGTTGACTGAAGTTCATTAGTAAGGAGAATTTGCATCCCTCACTGCACTTCCAGCTCTCATAGATGGGCACCATGTGCTGAGAAATAGTTTCCAAAAGGCAGCTCTGCATTTGCTTTTGGAGTTGGTTAGAAGAAAATATTATGGAGGAAGCATTCTGGGGAGGTGATTAAGGTTTGAGTTAGAAACAGCCTGGAATTTGGGGGATGCCAATTCCAATGTGTTGGGGGGGCGGTCCTCCTCTGGAAGGGATCTCAGGAAAGAGTGGATAGAGTATCAGTTTGTTCCAATCCTTCAACTGATCAGGGGGTATAACCCTGGTAAACACCATCTTTCATGAGGAATAATCTTCAACAATTCATGACGGCTCTGTTAGACTTTCTGATTGTTGGAGTTTTCTCTAATAAACATGGTAGTTTTATAAGAGCCTTTTTATTTTCCCATACTTATTTTTGCATAGAAAATGCTTTTGCAGGAGCCCATGCATGAATGATGTGTCCTACACATATTTAAGTAAGGTAATGCACGTGAGTGCCTTGTGTACCATCTCACATACAGAAAGTATCCAATGATGGAAGCTCCTCACGCTGTTTATGCTTCCTGCATTTCACGTGAGGACACTGGGAAGAGGGAGTGACTGCCTTGCCTAGGGCTTATGTTCAGGTAACTAGACTGGACCCTAGATGTCTGCCTTTTCCCACCTCTCCTCCAGTCCAAGCATTTCAATGCCTGGGCCATCCTCTACTTACAGAACACAAGTCATAGCCCTTTGGGGAGCAGTTATGGCTGGACAAGATGGGGAAATGTGTTCTTAGCAATGTGGCCCAGTGTTCACTCATTTAATCAGTGTGTGCAGAGTCAAGACATGGGCTTTGGGGAGGCAGGAGGATGGCATTCACTGAAGAGCCTGTCATTTAACCATTAAGAATGGCATCCACCCAAGAAACTGAGCCCACTGGTGGTTGGGGAGAGGGCAGCACTGCAGATTGGCATGAGGAGCAGCAGCAACAGCTCCCATTCTCTGGTAGGGTCCACATGCCAGACACATGTGTGCACTTCTGCACCCCCGATCCCTAGGAGGTCGGTATGGTTATCCCAGTGTCAGCGCTGATCGTACCCATTTAATTCTGGAAACAGGGATATATGTGCCAGTCATTCATTCACAAATTTACTGAGCTTTTCCCACTTCCCACCTACATTAAAGCTCTTGGCACTAGGAATACAGTGGTGACCACAAGAGGGAGGGTTCTTAGGCTCAAATTGCTTAGAGTCAAGTAGCAGAGAGAGAGAGACATACACACACAAACTAAAAGTTTTATATGTGCCAAGAAGAAAAATAAGAGCATACACCGAAAGCTATAGTAAGAACATGCTAAATATATTTGAGGAAGGGGACTGGTTACAGAGACATCCTCTCTGGGGAAACCTGAAAGGCAGGTAGGTGTTGATAGGGAGGGAAAAGCTGGGGGAATGGTATATGTAAGGCCTCTAAGGCAGGAAGAGCCTGGCATGGAAAAAGACTGGAAGGTCAGCAGTCACTGTGGCTTTAGCACAGGCATGAGGGATACCCTGGCATAAGGTGAGGCACTAGCTGATTCCATGAGGTCTCGTGGGCCATGCTAAGGAGTTTGGAGCTTTACCTTAATGCAATGGGAGGCTATTAGAGAGCTTTAAGCCAGAGAGTGACATGCCCTGATTTATGTCTTACAAAGATGGCTCTAGCTACGGTGTGGAGAATGGATGGGGGGGCAGGTGCAAAGTGGCTGTTAGAGGTGATGGATGACAATGACTTGGTTAGAGTGGTGGCGGTGGAGATGGAGAGGAGTGGATAGGTTTGAGGTGTAATTTGGAGATGAAATTGACAGGGCTTGGCAAGGAGAAGAGAACAGAGTGTTCAAGGAGAGGGATGAGGACGGAAGTGGGGAAGGAGAGGCAGTGAGCGGTCAGCCAGCACTGAGAGGCTGACAAGCAGCAGGGCGGTGGCACCTTGGCTTTTGTTTAACCACTGAAGCTCATCTTGATCCCGATGCCCCTTGTGTCTTATTACAGCAAAATGATGGACAGTTCACAGTGATCCAGCTGGTGGGGATGCTCAGGGGCATAGCTGCTGGCATGAAGTACCTGGCTGAGATGAACTACGTGCACCGGGACCTGGCTGCTAGGAACATTCTGGTCAACAGTAACCTGGTCTGCAAGGTGTCCGACTTTGGCCTTTCCCGCTACCTCCAGGATGACACCTCAGACCCCACCTACACTAGCTCCTTGGTAAGTCCTTCTTGGTATTCTCGGGTAAAAGCATGGCATGAATAAAAGGTGGCTACACCTGTCTGAGGACCCATGGTAGGGCCATACTCTGAAGGACTGGGACCTGAACTCATCTCTCCACTGGGGAAGCCAGGTGTTGGGAGAACCATCCATCTGGGAGGAATGATAGCAGCTGGCTGTCCAGGCAAGCATTTGCGCATAGGCTGTGAGGAAGGGTCGGTATCTACTCTGTAGCCATGGTGTTTCTTGGCCAATGGGAAGAGGGCATTTTGGAACAGATGATTTGGGGGAATCCAAACAGTTTGACAGTAGCATCAGAGATGTCTGTCCATAGGGAACAGGCTCCAATGGGGTTGGCACTGTGTCACCAGGTAGACTCTGGGTACCCTTCTCTTCTCCCTTTCCATTGCTTCCAGATAGCTGTAAGTACCATCTACATGATCAGTACTCCTAAAGGTTTTTCCTGCTCTGCCTCCCCCTCCACATCCCAGGCAGTTCTAATCATCGATGTCCACTGCCTAGTTCACACACTTTGTCTTAGAACTTTCGCAGGTCTCAATAACGCCCTGGACTTACTCTCCAGTTTCCCTTCCCCTTTCCATCTCAGTAGTTGCACCACTCAACTAATAACTGAAACCTAGGACTCAGCCTTGATTTTTTCTGTATGCCTCACCATGCATGCCCAATCCCTCAGCAACTCCAATAGGTTCTTGTAAAATCTGTTCCTTCTTTTCACCTCTCGGCCCCCACCCTATCCCAAAGTACCATTCTCTTCCGCCTAGCCTGGCGCAGCAGCTTCCAACTAGTCCCCTGGTCTCCTCTTATCTTCTTATGTCCATTGTCAGTGGCATCCACAGTGACTGATCTATCTACCGATCTAGCTATGTTCTTTAAACGTGCAAAGTATTCATCATTATAAAAATGAAAACATTACAGAGAAAGAAAAGGAAAAGGATAACTAAGAATCTACATTCCCCTGAAGCCGGTGTCAGTAACTAAAGGGCCAGGAAGTAAATAGTTTAAGCTTTCCTGGCCAAGAGGCAAAATGAGGATATTATGTAGAAAATTACGTAACCATTTAAAATGTCACCCTTTAAAAAGGTATAAACTCCATTCTTAGCTCATGGGCCTCAGAGAGCCAGGTGACCAGCCAGGTTTGGCGCTCAGGGCATCATGTGTTAACCAACCCCTGTCCTGAAGCACCTATTTCAACAGTTAGATGTCTCTTTTCACAGTTTTCAGTTTGCTCAGAAATTTGAAAATTTTGATATTATAAAGGTGGAATCATACTATGCCTATTGTTCTGTGTCTCGTGCGCCTCTCGGGCATTCTTACTGCCAAGTTGCTGTTCTGAAAGTTGTAAACATTCACGCTCCACCAGGAGTGTTTGGTGCCGTTCTTCCAGCCTCTCCACCAGCACTGGAGGTGATCAACCTTTAAAAATGTGCCAACTCAAAGATGAAAAATGATACCTCATTTTGTTTTCATTTGCATTTTCATTTGACTTAGAGATATTCACACAGCTATGGGGACTTCTGTTTCCTCTTCTGTTAATTATCTCTACCTATCTCTACCTATTTTTCTATCGGGTTATTTGTTGGTTTTTTAGAAATTTATAGGAAGTCCTTTTCTAGTAGGGATGGTAACCCTTTGTCTGCATATATGATACAATCTGTGCCCCCCAACCCCCAATACGTTGTTTGTGTGATAATGTTTATGATACCCTTTGGCTTCCCAAACCGGTCAATACTCATGTAGTAAAATATACTTATTTTTTCCCTCTATGTTTTTCTTGGATTTCCTCCTTGTTTTAAAAGTTCTCTTCGCTCCAAGGTTATAAAATGCTTTTTTAAAGTTTCCTGTACTATTTTATTGGGTTTTTTGTTCTATATTTAAATATTTACTATTCCTGGAACTTATTTATTTTTCCTGAGTTTTTATTTTGAAAAATTTCAAGTATGCAGAAAACTTGGTAGAATTTTACAGAGGACAGCCATGTACCCACCAGCCACATTCGTAATTACCAGTTGAGATAAGAACCACTGTGTTCTGTGAGAGTGTGAATAAAACCATAAATAGCAAAATAGTCCGACTGTATCTAGTGGCATTAAGGAAAGCTTCCAGAGGCAAAGGTGGTGCTCCTGCAGAGATTTGAAAAACAAGTTACCTAAGTGAATGGGGCCAGTTAGATCATTAAGAGACATTAGTGGCATATACAAAGGACCCGTGGCAAGAAGGAAGATGGACTTTTAGAGAGAAAACTCTGTTACTTGGCATTTGGAGAAAGAGGGGGAAAGTGACCAAGGAGGTCAACAGCAGTTACATCGTGCAGGGCCTCCTGGATCCTTGTGATGAAATTTACAGCCTTAGAGCAATGGGAAGCCATTCAAAGGCTGTGTGTGTGTGTGTGTGTGTGTGTGTGTGTGTGTGCGCGTGCGTGTGTGCGCGTGCGCACACACACACACAACCCAAAGGTGATGGATTTTCATTTTAGAAAAATAACTTGGCCTTCTCTTGTCTTTCCCTTCCAAGCTCTTCTTCTCCCTTCTTTAAAAACAAAACAAAAATACTTTCTTGGCTTTCTTCCTTTTTTCTTTCACCAAAAAGAGATTTAGCAGGCCCAATCAAAGTAGAAATCTGAGCAAGGGAGGCAAGTGCTAGCAGGGATCAAGACCTGTGTGTGAGGGCGCCGGCAGCTTAGCAAATTAGAAAATTAGCTCTATACAGGGTCATTGATAAACATTTTGGAGATAATGTACAAATATGGAAAGCATGAAAGCTGGAATGAACTGTGTGGTGCTGAACTGGAATTGGAAGTATTGGTATGAACTTGTGATTTTCAACATATAAAATGAAAGAGAAATAAATGTAGGATGTGACTGCCTCAAAGCAATGACACCTGGGTAGTGAGGAGTACACCTGGCATTCGGGTCTTGGATTCTGTACACTATTTTACACTAAAAGCAACCAAGACTCATTAGAGAAATGGCCCCTTCTAGGGACTGGCAGAGAAAGAATTAGATAAGCTGGCACATCTTTTTGTTCCAGAGAGTAAGAAAGTACTCAAATAATGATGGGGACATATCAAAAGAACAATACCCAGCTTGAAGGGCCTCTCAATGTCCAAATATGGGATAATTTGAGTCTCAAAATAGATGATGATACTAGCAATTTATAACCCATTGAATACGATAGGAGCTGTGGAGTCCATACTGATATGCATATACATGAATAAACAAATGAAAAGAAGAGGAAGCTTTTCCCAATACTGAAAAGAATGATATTATTAGAAAATCACTATTGGTGACCATCAGATTCAGAAATTTCAATGCATACTAAAACTTAGGATAAAAGTTGAGAGGCAAATAGGATTTTACAGAGCCTCAAAGTATTTCCCAAAAAAATATGTATTACAAAGGGAGAAAGTAACTTTACAGAAAAGTTTGGCAACACCATCTGAATCAAGTTATTGAAGTTCACACCAGGAATAACAGGACAGTAGACATTGAGTGGCACCTGATAGGATGCAATGAAAAGAAAATATAACATACTCTGTTCAAAAAGTTATAACCTAGGTCTCATCTTGAAGAAATATCAGATTAAATAAAATTGAGGTATATCCTATTAAACACCTGACTTATGACCTTTAAAAATTCTAAGGTCATGAAGGTCAAGGAGACTGAGGTCTGTTGCATATTGAAAGGTATTAGGGAAGTATGATAACGCATAACCAACCAGGTATTAAAGAGCATTTCTGGGACAACTGTTGAGAGTTGGAATGGGGTAGCTGGGTGAAGAGCGTATAGACATTCTTTGTCGCATTCTCGCAACTTTTCTAGAGATTTAAAATTGTTATATATATATATATATATATATATATATATATATATATATATATATAATTTCTTATATGTAAACATGTATCCTGGCTGCATTGTGGATGATGGGTGGGAAAGGCAACAATAGAAGCAATAAGAGGTCAGGAGGCTATGGGGCAGTGGGGGGAAAATGAAGCTCAGGGGGATCGGGGGAGTAACATAAAAAGGAGTTGATAGTAAATGATGCTTAGAGGTGAAGGCGACAGAGGTCCAAGGATCATATCCTGTATCTGACCTGTGCCTCTACATGGATAAGGGTGCCTTAGATCTGGAAACTGCTTGGAGGAATAGAAGGGTTGGGAGTAGACTGTAGGTTTAGTTTTGAACAGTGTTTCTCAAATTTTGGTGAGTATCAGACTTGCCTGGAAAGCTATTAAGGAGCACATAGACTCATTGAAGTAGAGTACGGTCTGGGCCCTTGCATTGTTACTACAATTTCCCAGGCAATTTTGATACCTACAAATTTTTGAAAGACACTTGTTTAGAGCATTTTTATTTTTATTTTTTTTTAATCCTCACCTGAGAATATTTTTTTCCATTGAGCTTTAGAGAGATTAGAGAGAGAGTGGAAGGGAGGGAGTAGAGGGAGGGAGAGAGAGAGAGAGGAAAATATTAAAGTTTCCTAGTCTTTCCTAGTAGGCCTTGGACTTCATCTCTCATTCTGTTTTCATTCTCTGCCATCCTTTTGTCCACATCTCTTTTTCTCTGTTTTAAATTGCGATTTCTAGCTCCAGAAGCATTTCCTTCCCACCAGGCTCCTGGGACAATGAACAGAAAAAATTCCTTCCTTTGTGCTGTCTTGTGATTGGAATAAACCCACTAAGCGAGGGAGGCAGTCTGAACTGCTCCTAATATTCCCGTTCTTTAAGAGGACAGATAAATGAGCTGGGCTGGGCTCTAACATCTGTACAACTTTCTTTTTGGCGGGTACATTCCTGCATACTGTTATGGGTGTTCAAGTTAGCCTTCCCGTGTGTCTTAGTTTACTCAGGCAGCTATAACAAAACACCACAGACTGGGTGGCTTAAACAACAGACATTTACTTCTCACAATTATGGAGACTGGGAAGTCCAAAATCAAGGTGCTGGCAGATTTAGTTTCTGGTGAGAACCTTCTGACTGG